GAAATAAAGGTATATAAAAAAAAATCATAGAAATCAGGCAATTAATCATTAATTAAAAATTTAAAACCCGTCCCGCCCCTTAACCCATCGCAGACACAAGGGAGGGGGGATTATTACCCCCTGACAAAATTTTTAAATTATTTAAAGAGTATGACTAAATAAAAAGTAAAAACACTTGAAATTTTAGCTACTTGCTCCAAATATTTAGGCGAGTTTAAGTAAAAAAAAGTTCATTTGAAATGCCTAATCTGAGCATATTAGTCAAATCCATGGATAGATTCGGTCAAACGAATTACTGGTCAAAAACTTAAATTTTGAATTCTGGCTTTTCTTTGTAATCCTGAATTTCATATTTTCCAAGAAGCTTTTTTTTATACTTACATATTTATAATTATTTCAATAAATGAAGTATGAGAAGTTGTTAGTCCAAGGTCCTACCTTTTTGGAGCTGTATCATGATCAAACAAGTTTAATTAATTTATCCCAAATTTTCAAAATAGGTCAAGAAAAATAGAAAATTTAATAAAAACCCAAGCACTGAAAGTATGATTTTCTAAATAATCCCCTCCCACCCTGTGCCAACAACTTATAAAAAATAGGTAAGCCTTAAAGCTGCTGCCCAATAACATTACCTACATAAAAATGCCTTAATTAAAAAACCTACCTATCAGCCTCTCCATGAGTTGTATTCAGGTTTTTTCTAAAACATTTTAAATTTAATAGTATCGTGTTAAAAATACAACAAACTTTCATACTTTAAAATATATATATATATATATATATATATATATATATATATATATATATATATATATATATATATATATATATATATATATATATATATATATATATATAACAATTTTTATTATTAATTTTTATTAATTGATTAGAGTATAGTTTAAATACAATAATAATTATTAATACAACAAAATTTATGCATATTTATGTTACCAAGTTTATAAAATTTTCATAAAATCCATAATATAAAATAATCATGATATAGCAACTATTTATATATTTCTTTAACAAAAATTAAAAAGATATTAGATTCTCAAACAGCATGTTCATCATAATGAACATGCTGTTTGAGAATCTAATATCTTAATTTTGTATCTAATATGATTTGTGACGTGATTTAAATGCGCTAGTGACGTGATTTAAATGCGCTATTGGAAGGCATTATGAATTGCGGGAAAATAAATAGCACTTGAGTGCTATTCATTTTCCCGCAATTCATAATGCCTAATGATTTAAATCACGTCACTCTACGACTCAATTTACTCAGAAAGTCACGCAATTCAATGTGCACTCTGATTGCGAGAAAAATTTTTAATTCAACAAGATTTTTTTGGTAATAATTTAATTTTAACGTAAGGGACAGATTGTCCGGGCGGCAGATTTCCAAGGGAAATATAGGAGAATTTCGATAATTAAGAACGCCAATCATGTTGCTGTCCCGGGCGGCGAAACAGTTCTTGGCGGCATTTTATATATATATATAGTTATTTGTTATTATTTATTTTTTTTACAACACTTTTATTTATATGCATTCAATAAAAATAGTTTTTAATTATTTTGTAATTATAATATATTGTTATTTATTTCTATACTTATAATGTTGTGTAGCGCAGGTGGTAAGGCGCTAATGGTCTAGTGATCCGGGTTTCGAAACCCACCACCGCTAAGTTTTTCATTTTTCAAAATAAATTAAAAAAATTGAAAATCTTACAAATCCTTTATGATACCCTACAGGATAATCACAGGATTTCTTATGATCTTATAGGATTTGCAAGACAAATAAAATCTTACGAATCCTTTAAGATACCCTATGGGAAATCACAGGATTTCTTATGGTCCTATAGGATTTGAAAAACAAATAAAATCTTACAAATCCTGTAAGATATCCTGTAGGATAGTATAAGATTATATACGATCCTATAAGATTCATAAGTTGTCTGTAAGATAGTCGACTAGTGTGTATTAACTTTTACTTTTTTTTGATGATCCCGAAATTTTAGGAAATTTCGGAGACTAACAAATTCTCACAATTCAAAATTTCAATTAGTGATTTGCTTCAGGCTCCAGCTGTTCATTTTAGTGATTTGCTTCAGGCTCCAGCTGTTGACTTATCCAAAATATGATTTCTTATTTTATGCATGTATGTATGTTGTATAAATTCTTAATGTATTTTAAATTGTCAACGTGTTATTCCAATGTTTTTTAATAACCAATGTTTTTATTTTTAATAACCTAAATCTTTACCTAAAATTAATTACCTAAATACTTAATAGCTGTTTAAGATAGGATGGTTGAAAATCGATAAAAATTTATTCAAAAATCCATTTATCATTGTGGAACTAAAGAAAGTGTCTATTTGTTAAGCAATATAGGTATTCATATCAACTCTATTAAAAAAAAAAATGACTTCCATATAGAGTATGATCTCGTATTGATATTCATGTCAAACATAATGAATATAGCACTCGTAAAAAATCTGCAACTATCAAAATAGGTTGTTGCTATGTTAAACTAGGTAACCATAACAACTAAATAACAAATATCCCCTCATAAGAAGAGCAAATCCCTTACTAATACATAAACTAATTATAATATAAATAACACACATAAAACATCTAAAACTACTAAAAATAGGTTGTTAATAAGCAAAATTAGGTATCCATAGCAACCAAATGGAAAAATATCACTTTTATATGAAGCGCAAAACTTATATTAGTACTCATGCCAAATTTAGTAAATAAAGACCTAATAATATTGATAAAGTTCTTATGAGGGAAAATCATGCCAAATTTAGTAAATAAAGACCTAATATTATTAATAAAGTTCTTATGAGGGAAAATCAACATTTTGTTGATTTTGTTGATTATGACAAAATTAATATAAAAATTGAATATTACTAATATTTAATTTGTTATTAATTTTGTCCATCAAAAGTGAATTCTGGCCCACTGTGCAATGTTCCTTCATAAGAACTTTAAGGACTTTATGATAAAGGGGTCCCAGAAGGTACACTTGGTGGAGCAAACGCAATGAGATGGTCAAGTGAAAAATTGTTTCTAGGATTTATGAAACATTTTGTGAAGCATACTTACTCAAGTAGGGTAAATCAATCCATTCTTTTACTTGATAACCATAAGAGCATATATCAAAACCAACAATCCAGCTGGCAAATTATAATGGGATCATAATGTTAAAAATTCATCAACACACTAGTCACAAAACGTAGCCCTTAGACAGAGGGGTAATTGGTCCATTTAAGACTTATTTCAACAATAAAAAAGATTAGATGTTAAAACCAGGGAATACTAGGAAACCAGCAGCAATCTATGGTGTATCAGAAATTTCTGAACAAGCTTTTTACCTAGCTTTTACTCCAAGTAACATTACACACAGTTTTCTAGTGAGTGATCTTCATCCACTGAATAAAAATATTTTCAAAGATTATGAGTTCAGGCCATCCACTATAACAAATTGATCCCAGCCTGGAAACATAAGAGAGCATAATGAAGACTTTTTAAGCAGACCTGGGCTCTTGACCAATATTGAGGTGACAAACTGCAGCCAGATAAGTGCTAACATTGTGTCTATTGATATTCTACCCTATCCAAAAGCTCACCACAAAAACAAACTATAAAAGGTCATTTGAAAAAAAGTCTTGCATTTTAACATTCCCGTAACACTTCAAATTAAAAAACAAAAACAAAGAAAAAATCTGGAAATAAAATGAAAGGCAAAATTGATCATAAACAACTCTTATCTGTTTAAAAAAAAAAAAAAATTAGCTTGGAGCAAAGAATTAGAATTAGAGGAAATGTAGAATTAAAAGCAAATGTAGACAAAGTATCTGCTTAGTCAGAAGTAGACTTCGAAAAATTCAGATTTAAAAAAAAATCTTGCTTGGAGTTTTCATCTTGGCACAAATTCAAGGCAAACGTGGTGCAAAAAACTTCGCAGCAGAGATACTAGAAGTTACTGACACATTGTTCAAAATTCAGTATTTGAGAAAGAACACAAACTCACAAAGATTTATGAGAGAAGACAAAACTGTATATGAGTTGGACAAATCAGACTTGGTCTTTCAGTTTCCACACCCCTCTGTCACAGGAAGTTCAGCATGACAACTGGAAAAACTATCATTTGGCTTTAACTTTGATTACCTGATTGCAGATTAGATGAATGCTAAAGCAAAGTGAAAGACTTAATATTACCAAACTTTAATGTTGACATTTGTTATTACTCTTTTCTTAATCAATTTTATTTCTTATGTATGTTTTTAATGTTTTTAAGTTTAAATTATTTAAATTTATAATCTATATATTAGCTAATATATAGTTTATATAAATCTAACTAGTTAGATTAATAATAGCTCCAATTAGTCTGATGTGAAATTATCCTATATGTAAGCAAACATTTATATAATGCAATTATACAAATTATATGTAAACAAATGTTTATAAAATGCAAAACAAGAAACAAACAAAAAAACTTGTTAAAGGATAAAGTTACAGTGGAGTGTGCTATATATATATATATATATATATATATATATATATATATATATGTATATTTATATTTTGATATTATGTGTTTGCAAATTAAATTAAATAAAAATTCTTGTGTGTATGAGTGCTCGATAATAATATTATTGAGCACTCAAATACACAAGAGTTTTTATTGAATTTAATTTGCGAACACATAATATCAATATATATATATAAATATATATATATATATATATATATATATATATATATATATATATATATATATATATATATATATATATATATATATATACATATACATATATATATATATATATATATATATATATATATATATATATATATATATATATATATATATATATATATATATATATATATATATATATATATATATATATATATATATATATATATATATATATATATATATATATGTATTTGTCTATATATGTATGTATATTTATATTTTAGACAAAGTAAGTCTTGTCATTTGATATCCTTGAGTTTAATACAAACTCTATTATCAATCTGGGATGTTGGAGGGGTAAGTTTTTTTGTTTAATTTTGGTTTTAATACTACTAACAAAGTTCACTTAGTTTTTAAATAAACTTTTTAATTTCATTTTCTACCAATCATCAAGTTCTTAAAGTATGTAAAAAATTTTTTTTGTTGTTAAATATATTAGAAGCTTTGAAAATGTTTTTCTTTCTATGCACCAATGAAAGGATATCTTTTATGCACTAATAAATATCTTTTATGAAGTTGTCATAGCTTAAATAAATAATTTGCAGTTTTTTTTTAAATTAAAACTTTTAGAAATCAAATTTAATCAAAGATAAAAATACTTTTAAGCATTAATTTATGGAAGATTGAATAAATTTATAATACAATTCAACACTTGATTTGTTCATAAACTTTTTTATTGTCTCATATGCTTAATTTTCATTCTTTTTTTTTAATGTTTTTTTAAATAAACATTTTGAAAATTACAATTTTCTGTTATTTGTTTTTTTGTCTCATATTGATAATTAGTTATTGTCTCTCTGCTTTTATTTATGTTTGTAATTTGATCTAATTGAAGTCTGTTGATTTTTTTAAATATTCAACTTTAATTATTATTATGACATTGTTAATGATAAATTATTTTTTTATTATTTTTCTTTACTGTATTGACCTTCCCATGCCAAGGTGTAGTTGAGGAGACTGCTCTTTTATTTTTAAATTTTTAGTTTTTTGTTTCTTTGTTTTTACAATCTCAATCTTTTTACAGACATTATAATTACATTAAAACAAAGGTAAAACATAGAAAATAAGGTAAAACATAGAACTCATATGTAAATATTGGCACAAAAAAAAGATCATAAAAAATAAATCATAAAAAAAATAAATTATTAAGCTTATGATAGAGCTGATTAGCTGGATTGAATTCAACAAATTCCAGGTCAATGTTGCTGGATTGAAACCACATTTTTGTATTCTGTTTTTAATGTTTATATTCTGCTGTTTCATCATTGGATCTCAGTGTTGATGGCTGTTGTCCTTAGATTTGTAAATACTCCGGTAGTCATATGCTTGGCTCAATCAACCTGTTGGTCTCCTTTTTTCCACTCTGCTCAATGTTGTTACTGATTAATTTGACCACACCCTTGCTCTTTATCGTTTAGTTAATATTGTTGTTATTAGTGACTTAAATGATTATTATTCTGAATGGTTTGGGTCTATTATTGCTCACCCCTCTGGCTCTAAAAGTCAACCTTTTTGTCTTTATCAATCTTATACTCAGATAATTTACTTTGTGAAAAACCTAAAATTTTAGAAACTTTGTGAAATTACTTACATTCACTTCTTGATTTGTATCTTGTGTCTGACCTTAGCATGTACTCAGTTTCTTCTGGTTCTCTTTTAGGTGGTACTGATCATGCGCCTTCATGCTCATAAAAGTTTTGTTCATCTGTTTTTTTTCCTGTGAACATCAATGCTTTGGAATTGACTCCCATATTCATTTTTTCCTAACTCTTTTTTGCTTGTCTCTATTTTATGTTAGCTCCTAATGTAATTAATGCTGCAAGCAACCAATAATTAATTAGTCAGTGGTTCTGATAGCTCCTAACTTATTAAATGCTGCAAGCAACCAATAATCAGTCAGTGGTTTTTTTAACTCCTTAACCTCTAACTTAATCGATTAATTGTTAGAAGTGGATTAACTAAAAAAAAGCAAAGCATTATTGACATATTGTCAAAAATAAGTAGAATTATAAAATAATTTTAATCTAGTTTAACTAGATAAGAAATGTTTATAATTGCGTATTATTAACAAAAGACTAAGAATAACTATTGAAATCTTGAAAAAAACAACAAAATATTGTTCATGCAGCATCAACTTGTTTGCGAGGTCACTTGAAAACTCCAAGGTAATTTAAGAAGATATAAAGTAGAAGGCTCAGTACAAGTGTTTCTATTTATCAATATAGGAATGACAAAGTTTATATGTAAATGAAAAAAAAAAAAATATATATATATATATTTATATATATATATAAATCTGTGAGCAATTTGAACTTTAAAAAAATTGTACACCAACAAGTATATTGAATTCAAATACTATGTATTTTGTTACTGACTTAAATTTACAAATTTTATTTAGCTTATCAGAAAAACGATTACCCGTGATCAAACTAAAATAGAAAATATACATAGACAAACCATGTCTGACATTATCCAGTGTGTTAAAAAATCCATGTCTGACAATCCACTATACTTAAAAATCCATGTCTGACATAATCTAGTATGCTTAAGAGTTCATAACTTAAATAATCCAGTATGCTTATTAAGACCATATTAGACTCTTAAGACACATTTTAGACTTTTAAGCACTGCTTAAGAGTGCTTAAAAGACTCTTATGTCAGACATAGACTCTTATGTCTGACATAAGAGTCTATGTCTGACATAAGAGTCTATGTCTGACATAGTGTACTTTCAGTAATCCAGTGTACTTTTAGTAATCCGGTGTACTTTCAGTAATCCAATGTACTTTCAGTGTGCTCTGATTATATAAGAATTTAAGAAAGTGGTTGCCAGAAAATGAATAAAAAAGTTATTAAAAAGAATATTAGGTTTCTCAAAATCATGTTGAATAGATGTTTCCCAAAGGGGAAAATTCGCTAGCAAATTTAAATATAGCAGAGCTCTGATTAAAACTTGTTAAAAAAAATAGATAAGCTTATTTCCATAAAAAAATTTAATATTAAAACAACATTAATTTATATATTATATTGTATTAAAAGCTTAAAAATATATTTTATTAACAGCTTTTATTTTTATAATATTCAATATGTAAAAAAAAAGTATAAATTTTCTGGAATTTAGTTTAAATTATTTTTCTAAAACTGATAGCTGAAAAAATATAAACTTTACAAAGATTTTACCACCTGTTCCCTATGAAATAGTAGTATTATTTCTGGGGGAGGAGGGGGTGTGCTAGTTGATGTTGTATATGATAAATAATAAAGTTCTTCAAAAAAGTAAATTTATGTTAATTTATGTTAATAAAAGGCATAAATTTTAATGAGCATAACTTGAATGGTTTAAAAATTTTTTTTTTTTATTATTTACATTTTATTTAGATTGCTACCAAATATGAAAGTTCAAATAAAGGTATATTTTTTTATTTTAAACAAGTGTTTAATGGGTCATTCCGTGCCAAGTGGTGCAAATTTTAATGAGGTCCCTCATTGACCATCTCAAATTTTATTGAAATTTTTTGATTTTGTACATATATATGTGAAAAGCATGTTTTGAAAATTTTAGATCAATATCTAATATGGTTCTTAGTAAAACGCTATTTAAGTAGAGGGCTATTTTGAATGAAATTTCACTCTACAAGAAAAAAGGTTTTTTTCATCATTTTTAACAGCTATTAACTTTTGAACAATTTAGTTTTATACTTCAGTTATTATAAGATAGCAAGTGTGCTGTAGATACTTTAGAAAAAGAAAAAAAAAATTAATTCTGGCATGTTAACTTTTTCCATAATGGCGGGCTAAAAATGAGATTTTTGTTTTTAAAATGATTTTTTTTGTGATTTTAATGATCTTACTTTTAAAAACTAGTTAAAAGATTAATACAAATCAAATTGCTTGATGATATACATGTGGTGGACAAACATTTTTAAAAAAATCAGTTGATCAAAGAGCTGCATTTAAATGTTATAGATCTCCAAAATGAGTCAGATCGAGATTTTTGTAAAATTGATCTGTGATGCAAAGCATCTGTTACCTAAGATGGCACTTTTTTTTTTCATAAAATTTTTTATACGCATCAATTAAAGAGTGTTAATTAATATAAACCAAAAAAATTAATGGGCACTTATTTATAACCCCCAAAAGGTAGTCTCTAAAAGCTTTACATTTTGATGGAACTGGCAAACACAAAGTGCATACAGACCAGAAGCACCACCCACAGGAATGCACCACTTGGGCCCTAGCTCACAAAATTTTAAAAATCCAACTTTAAGATAATTATATTTCTTTTTAAACTCAATATGTAGCTCTTTCATATTGACTAGTATAAGTCACTTTTGGATGTGTTGCTTTATACTATCTACTTTAACTGAAACAAACTCTTTCTTTCCTGGACAAACCCTTGAATATTCATCGCATTCATTGAAATGAACAACCTCTTTAATTATATCTTCGCTTAGTTTTCTACCCGGTTTTGGAGAAGGTTTTGATAGTTTTCCACATTTTTTTCTTAATTTTCTGGTTTGTACTACAGATCTTTTTGAAGTCAAAAAATACTTCTGAGTTTTCTCTATTGACCAACTGTCTGGAGTGAGTGTAATAAGTGTGATTTTTTTAGAATTTGACAATAATTTTTCAAATTTTGACTTAATTTGAGTCATAATATTGTCTAAATATGTGTTTGTTTTTTTCAAACATTTTCTTGAGGGTGATTCAATTCCACCTAGCAGATTGGCAACAGCCTTTTGTGTATGAGCTCTTACACTATCAATTTTACGCTTTCCATATGCAACTCTATCTTTTTTTGAAACAAGTTTGAGAGGTGAGCATCCAAAACTTGCAATACTTGAATTAAGATCTTCTTTTAATTTATGGTAGTCAACATAAATTTCTTTTTATTGGAGTTCATTTTCTTTTGTATTATGTTTGCAATTCAGAACATTTTTGCAACTAGTGCAAATTTTTTGACCAGGTATTAAACCAAAAAAATTTGGCATATGAAAGACTGATAACTCTAAGAGAATCTAAAAAGTAGCGGTAATAATTATTAAATATTTTTTTTTTTATTTATTTAGTGTTATTAAGTTATTTGTATTAAATTAAGATATTAGTTTAAATATTGAAACTTACTTTTCACTTTTTTTGTGTGCTTGTTCAACGGATTACAACAATACCTGCGATGTTCATTCTCATACCTCGACAAGTAAACTTTCTCGTGATAGCTACAAATAAAATCTATGGGATTTATTTTGCTTCTCAAAAAAATAAGCTCTCGGCTTAGTGTAGACAGTTCTTGGCAGCATTTACTTTTTTTAGACTTGTTAAACTTAATAAGATAGCACTGTTCCTTTAATGCTTTACCAATACAGCAAGTAGAAAGCTCATATTACTTATCATTAACTAGTTCTAAAATACAACAATTTATTTGGTTTTATTAGTACTTTTTAGATTGACATACTAGTAATATAGAATTAAATGAAACAATAACTTAACTTTTAAAAAGTAATAATTTTTTATGGAAAATTTACCTGACTTTTAGAGACTACCTTTTGGGGGTTATAAATAAGTGCCCATTAATTTTTTTGGTTTATATTAATTAACACTCTTTAATTGATGCGTATAAAAAATTTTATGAAAAAAAAAAGTGCTATCTTAGGTAACAGATGCTTTGCATCACAGATTAATTTTACGAAAATCTCAATCTGACTCATTTTGGAGATCTATAACTTTTAAATGCAGCTCTTTAATCAACTGATTTTTTAAAAAATGTTTATCCACCACATGTAGATCAGCAAGCAATTTGATTTGTATTAATCTTTTAACTTGTTTTTAAGATTAAGATCATTAAAATCACAAAACAAATTATTTTAAAAACAAAAATCTCAACTTTAGCCCGCCATTATGGAAAAAGTTAACATGCCAGAATTAAATTTTTTTTCTTTTTCCAAAGTATCTACAGCACACTTGCTATCTTATAATAACTGAAGTATAAAACTAAGTTGTTCAAAAGTTATTGGCTGTTAAAAATGACAAAAAAAACCTTTTTTCTTGTAGAGTGAAATTTTATGCAAAATAGCCCACTACTTAAATAGCGTTTTATTAAGAACCATATTAGATATTAATCTAAAATTTTCAAAACATGCTTTTCACTATGTACAAAATCAAAAAATTTCAATAAAATCTGAGATGGTCCATATGAGACCTTTGCACCACTTGGCATGGAATGACCCTAATACATTTTAAAAATTTTTATTTTACTTTAATTTTCTTCAATTGCTATTAAAAGTAAAATTGTATACTCCAAAATTATATTTAGTTTTTAAATGGGTAAATTAATATATAAAGCATAAAAATATAAAAATTATATATCAATACTCAGGCTTTGGCAGAAGTAAATGAGTGTGAGAGCAGTGGACAGCTCTCCTAAAACGAACGAGCTATGCTAGCTGTTTCTCTAAACAGATTTTTATGCAAGCTTTCAGTTTTTGCGCAAATAGATTGTTCATAAAAAATTGCTTATTAAATTTAAAGTTTGATTTTATTATTCTTACGAGAATATGCTTCTAAGAATAATGTTACGAGAATATAAACAATAACAATAACAACAACAATATTATAACAAGCATCACTTATTGCACTGTAAAAAATTCTTTAGACAAGTGTTTTCTTTGGGTTTTCACACAAGCTATTTATTTATTCATTAACAACTTTACTTATTTGATAAAAGATATGCCTATAAAAAATATTTTATATTATAATGTATATAATATAATCTATAATATAACCTATAGCTAAAATATAATTTCAAGCACTACAAAAAAAAAAAACAGTGGCTCAAAAACAACAACAAACAATCGCATTTTATGAACAAAAAAAAGTCAATCTGAAATTTGAATTTTGCCTTTTTTATTTAACAAAGTTTGCACAGAAATAAAGAAAAATGTATAAGAATTTTGTGGAATAACCATCTTCATATATTTAGAAAACTTTTTTTTCTCTGAGGTTTTTTTCTGAGATAAATTTTTTTCAACACATAAAAGGTTTCTGGGTAGAGTTGCACTATTAGTGTTTTATTTTCTGGTCGGAATCTAGTATTTTATTTTCTAGGTGGAGTTAGCTTCTGCAACTTCATACAGAAATTAAAAAACCTAGGTTCATTGACATTGAAGGTGATAAACATATTTAGAATTCTAAACAGCTTAAGTTTTTATTTAAATAGTAACTTAATTGAAGTGTTTTTAAAAGTCATTATCAGGCTCCTGCATTTGCCTATATACAAAACTTAACTATAGCTTAACATAATTATTAGCAAGTCTATTTATTGCTGTAAATAGTTATCATCAAACAATTATTTATTTAATACAATTATTAGTCAACAAGTTTATTGCTACACATGTTTATTACTAAATATAATTATTACTAAACATAGTTATTATTTAACACAGTTATTATTTAACATTATTATTTAATGTAATTATTACTTAACATAGCTATGACCAAACATAATAATTGCTAAACATAATTATTGCTAACCATAATTGTATACAGGATTTATAAAGAAAATTACGTATTTTTTGTCCCTTATAAATTTAAACACATTGTCAATAAGTGTGCTAATCATGAGGTCTTCAAGAGTGTTTGAAAAGAATATTGGCGGTAATTGTACTAATCATAATGTTTTCAATAGGGTTGATAATATTGTTGGTATTATTGAATATTGGTAGTAACTGTGCTTATAAAAAGTTTTTTTTATCTATTATACAGCGTTCTTTTAGTGAATGTTACGAATGATCTAACAGTGGGATGCTAGACACTACTGACCATTTGATAAAAGTGCTAGTTTAACTTATTTATTGTTTGTATTGATCATGTTTTTTTTTACCACTGTTTTTTTAGTTTATGTTTTGAAAAATAAATATTTAATTATTTTCTTTTATTATTGTTTAAAATTTTTCTTAAACAACCATGGTTATCACAGCAAACAGTTTTTCTTGATTTTTTTTTATGTTATTAATTTGGATTTAGTTTAAAATAAGTTCATATTTTATGTCACATTTTTTTGTTGTTAAAAAGTTAATGGAACTTTTAATTAAAATTTTCTTATCATTTTCCATTCATGTTTTAACAAGTGCGTTTTGAGAATAGTAAACTCCATTTTTTAAGTTAAAGAAGAAACAACTTTTTGATTCAAACAAGTTTTTGATTCACTGTTTGTACAAAACAGTGACATAAGTTGATTAAATATGACATAAGCTAAGTTAACAAAAAACAAGTGTTTTTTGTTGTGCTTAGAAATCTTAAATATTTTGTATGCGTTATATATGCCAGCAATAATTTGTCCAACCTTATCATTAGCCCATAACCATATCATTTGAAGAACTAAAAATATAAGTAAATACATAATAATATATTAATAATATTCTGTTGTTATAATAAAATATTAATTTTAATTTAAATATTTAATATAGATATTATGATTTTTATGTACTTATTAGTTAAGTTTTTTGGTTTAGTTTATTTTACTGAAATTTTGTCTGAAAATAAAAATGTATGGACTTCAAAAGAAGCAATATCAGAAATCACAGTGGGAGATCGAATATCTACAACAGCTAATTGTACGATCAAAATATACTGTCCATTTAAAGGTAACCCATATCCACGTGTGAATTGGTTTTTTAATGACCAGATTATTGACCCTATTAAATTTGAAAATATTGACACAACAGAACTTCAAGGAAATTCTGTTTTAGTAATAAGTAATTTTGATAAAAAACATGGTGGAATGTATACATGCATGGTATTTAACAGATATGAGAGACAAAAAAGTACTGCATTTGTGAGGCTGATAGGTAGGCATTTTATGTTTTTTTGAAAAAAAAAAAAATTAAAAATCCCTTCAGATTTAAATATTATTTTTGATAACAGAGCCGTTTCAGCCAACAATATTTTCAACACGTCTTTCTCAGGAGCATTCAGATGATGAAACTGAAGTTGCTATAAATATTGGAACTAATGCTACATTTTATGATGGAAGTAGTCTTAACATAAGATGTGAAGTTAAAGCTGCAGAGGAGTATTTTATAACTTGGATGTTTAATTCTATTCCATTAAATTCAAATTCAGAAAGGTTGATTATTGAAAATACAAAACAAGAAAACAGTGGTTTGTATTTTTGCAAGGTAAGCGACAAAAGTGGGAAAGGAGATGAACAGTTGTCTCATATCACTATAATAAGTAAGCATTCAATTCTTTTATTTATCACTTGCTAATTTATTTTATTTAGTATCTATTTAATTATAATTATTACAATTTTTTGTGACAAGTTTTATACTAATATATTAAAAAAAAAAGATTTTCATTTGTTTACAGAAAAAATATTTCCAAAAATTGTTGAAGGAAACAAAGTATTAAGGTATATAAGAGGTAGAGGAGATGCTCAAGTTATGATTGGTGAAAATGCAACTGTCAGAGAAGGTTTCACTGTTAAAATACAATGTTCATACTATGCTGTTCCTAAAGGAAAGTTAACTTGGGAAAGGCAAGGTATGTAAATAAAATATTTTTATTATTGCTATAATTATTATAATTGTTGTTATTGTTGTTGTAATTCTTGTTGTAGTTGTTGTTGTTGTTGTTGTTGTTGTTGTTGTTGTTGTTGTTGCTGTTATTGCTATTAGTAATAAAAGAGTGCTAATTACTAAAAATAAGTAAATTAAACATGAGTAAGTATGAATTATTATAAGTTAGGGATTGTCTATAAATTACGTAACGCGATTTAAATTAAACTTATAGACAAAAGACAAAGGATTAAAAGTTTTACCTCATAGAGTGTTTAATTAAACCAACTAAATAAACAAGCTTTTAAGTCCAGCAAAAACCACCGTGCAAAAGAGTAAAATGATCTCCTACTTATATTTTTAAAATTAATTTTGTGTTGCGTAATTTATGGATGATCCCTTATCAAATAAATTTTGTTATTAAGTGTATGGAATAATTGGAAAAAACATATTTATTTAATAGTAATTTATTAATAATATTTATAATTAAATCTTTTTTCTGCATTATAAAGTCTGACAATAAAATTAAGGTTTATTTTTTTAAATAAATTTAATAGTTTGAATCACCTAAAATTTATGAATGGGTGTTACATTTGATTATGACCCTATTTGTAATGAAGTTGCAACCTTCACATCCCCAAAAACTTCTTGACTTATTAATACTCAAGATTTTTGTTGTATCCTAGTTTTTATTTGTTTTTTTATTGTAAAAATTCTGTATTCATTTTAATAAATAACGAGTCCCCCCCAAAAAAAATTTTTCTTTAGTTTTGTGCGTAGTTTTGTCCGTTAAACGTGAAAATAAAAAGATTTTTAAAAATAATGAAGTTTGACCCCCACCCTTCTTTTAAAGTTTTTACCCCTCTGCCGCCCACTTTTTCAAAATTATATACTTTTAAACTGTGATTTTAGGCTAAATATTTAAATGTATTATTGCAATTAAATATGTTTTGTATCAATATTGATCACTATTATAATTCTAAACTATGTATCATAGATAATATTAGTAAATATAATTTGTTTCAATTTAATGATTCTCAAAAATTATTAAATAATATTATTCGCAATGTTTAAGATGAGTAAATTTTTTATGATGAATTGTAATGTTACATACATTATGCAAATAATTTTATAATTTATAGTTACTTTTTATCTATATATATATAATAGCATATATAAAAAATATTCAATCAGTTATGAGCAATAGTAAATTGAGGAAAAGTTGAGGAGAAGTTTGATAATACCACTAATTAGTGTTGGAAGTTACTGAAAGACAAAAAGATGAAGATTGTAGAGCAGTGCCCATTATAGTATTTGTAGAAAAGAGAAAGAGAAGCAACTTTACGACGATGTGATAATGGTTCAATGTTGGCTGCAAGAGCAGGTCTAACTGTTTACAAGGCGTTTTTGCACCTTGTCTAAAAGAGAAAGGGCATCATTAGAAGATCCGCCCCAGATATGGCAACAGTATTCCATAAAGGTCGGATTTGAGATTTATAGAGATAGAGAATAAAATCCGGAGTAAGAAAGTGTCGAGCTTGATAAAGAGATACAACTTTAGCAGATGTTAATTTTGCAACAGATTTAATATATGATTTCCAAGAAAAATCAGAAGTAAGAGTTAATCCTAGAAGATGAAGGGTAGATGACTCATCAAGTACATTACCGTTCATAAATATAGGAAGATCTAAATTATTGAGATAACGATTGGCTGAAAAAAATTGGGTTTTATCTGAACTAAAGTTCACCAGGCACTATGAGCCCCATGCTGTAGCAGGTGAGATTCTTTTCAAGCTCAAATGCTTTCTCCAAGCAATCAGAGAGAGTTGGCTTCTTATCATAACAAGAATAAATGGTAGTATCATCAGCAAACAATGCCACCTTAGATGTGAGAATATCTGGAAGATTGTTACTATAAATTAAAAAGAATATAGGGCCAAGGATTAAACCTTGAGGAACCCCTGAGGTTACAGAATAAGAAGAAGATTGCTGTTCATTAAGGACAACTTTTATACTATGATTGGAAAGGAAGGATTCAATAATCTTAAGGATGTTTCCAGATACACCGTAAGTTGATAGCTTATGAAGAAGACCAGCATGCCAAATTAATCAAACGCTTTAGAAATGTCAAGAGCGATGGCCTTAACCTCTCCACCTTTATCTAATGCACGATAAAACCTATTGGTTATTACTGTTAGCAAATCAGCCATAGAACAAGAAGATCAAAATCCATATTGATAATCAGAAAGTAAGTTATTAGATTTAAGATGAGAGATTAGGTATTTGTTAATTAAAGATTCAAAAACCTTGCTTATAATAGGAAGAAGACTAATGGGACGGTAGTTCGACAAATCGGATCGCTCTCCAGACATTTTTAAAAATAGGGATAACAGATGCTGCTTTCCAGCAGGCTGGAAAACAAGATTCTGATAAGCACTTGTTGAATAGTTTTGAAAAGATAGACGACAGCTCAGGAGAACACTTCTGTAAGACTATAACATGTATGTTGTGCGGGCCACAAGCTGTAGAAGAGTCTAAGCAGGAAATCACTTTAGATTCAGAAGCTGGAGCATTTTTTAAACTCCCTATATCAGGTAGAACGCAGCTAGTGGAATCAAGAGATGATATTGATGAAAAGTTCATTGCAAACATTTCTGCTTTGTCTTTAGGTGAGGTGGGAAAGTCTGAACCATACAAAAGAGGTGGAATTACAGACTTGCCCTTATTATTGATACTATTAAAGATTCTCCAGAAGTCATGAGAGCCTAATTTTTGTAATGAAATACCTGTTTTCATGACCTGAGTATAGTGGGCTTTGGCATTAGTCAAAATCTTTTTACAATGGTTCCTAGCAGTAATAAACAGTCATCTGTTTTCTGTAGAATTGTTTTGCTGATAGATATGGAAGTAATGGTTTCAATTGGCAAATGCAGCAGCACAATGTGAGGAAAACCATGGAGAAGAGTGAGACTTGACCTAGAATTGTTGAAAAGTAATTATGGATGCCATGACAGCCTGAATCCACGAAGTTATGTAAGAAGCATATTTTTCAACAGGAAGACGAAAGATTTCTACCCAAGGGCCATCACGAAGAAAATCACGGAAAGAGTCCTAGTCAGCTTTAAGGTAGTTGTAAGATATATGATGATAGGGGGAATCTGATGATAAAGAAGAATGAGATAATAGTTTTAGAGAGATCAAACTGTGATCAGAGGCACCTAAGGGTGAATGTGGAGAAACTGAGCACTGTCTAGGATCAGAAACAAGACATAAGTCGAGTAGTGAAGGTAAATGATTCAGGTTGTCTGGAAAGCCAGTTGGAAATTGAGAAAGGCAAAAGTTGTGGTTTTTAATGCCTACAGAGTCCCTGACACTAGAGCCAAGCCATTCTGTGTAATGAATATTAAAGTCACCAACAACAGCAATATTGGCTGATGGATAAATAGAGAGGGCTTGGTCAATATGATCAGAAACTGTAACTGAAGCATTAGGTCACAATTTATATGAAATATCAATCTAAAGCACAGTGAACAGATCAGGTAATTAAATTCGACAGCAAGAAATCGATGTAAAAAGGTGCTTTCTGATGCTAAACTCCATTATTCTCAGTTCACTAAATCTCGCATCTTATCGCAGAAGTTAGGCTCTAAAGACTTTTGGAAAATCTTCAACAGCATTGTTAACAAGGGTAGATCTAACATTCCATCTCTCATTCATGGGACTGATCTTGTTACCTCTCCCAGGGATAAGGCAGAACTGTTTGCAAAGAACTATTCTTCTAATTCCACTCTTGAATCTTATGGACATTCTCTTCCTTCCATTCCAGTCAAACAGGTTGACCCATTGTTAGACATTCAAATCACTCCGGCTTCTGTTGCTAAAGTCATATCTCAATTAAACTTGTCTACAGCTTGTGGTCCAGACAACATTCCTGTCACAGTCTTGCAGAATTGTTCTCCAGAACTTTCTTCAATTCTCTCTAAACTATTTAACAAGTGTTTGACTGAGTCTTGTTTTCCTGCTTGTTGGAAAATGGCATCTGTGGTTCCAATATTCAAAAACTCTGGAGAAAATTCTGACCCCTCCAACTATCGTCCGATCAGTCTTCTTTCTGTTATTAGCAAGGTCTTTGAGTCTTTAATCAACAAATTCCTCACATCTCATCTTGAGTCAAATAAACTGCTGTCAGACAATCAATACGGTTTTCGATCCTCTCGCTCTACGGCCGACTTGTTAACTGCTGTAACTGAAAGATTTTATCGTGCATTAGATGGAGGCGGTGAGGCTAGGGCTATTGCTCTCGACATATCTAAAGCTTTCGACAAAGTTTGGCATGCTGGTCTTCTCCATAAGCTTGCTTCATATGGTGTTTCTGGGAAAGTTTTTGAGATTATCAAATCATTTCTTTCTGATCGGTTTATTAAAGTCATCCTTGAAGGCCAACACTCTTCTTTATTTCCCGTAACTTCTGGGGTTCCCCAAGGTTCCATCCTGGGCCCTGTTTTGTTTCTTATCTACATAAACGATCTTCCTGACAACCTTTCATCTAAAGTAGCTCTTTTTGCTGATGACTCAACTTTATACTCCTGTCTTGACAAAAAGTCTTCTCTTTTTGATCGCCTAGAACAAGCAGCTGATCTTGAATCTGATCTCACTTCAGTAATAGATTGGGGTTCACAGTGGCTTGTGAATTTCAACTCTAAAAAAACCCAATTGCTTACTGCAAACAACTACCGTAATATGGTCAACATTCCTATATTAATGAATGGCAATCCTCTTACTGAGTCGTCCTCTTTACGTCTTCTTGGATTATCGCTTACTACTGACCTTTCATGGAAACCATATATACAATCGATTGCTAAATTAGCTTCTGCTAAGTTTGCTTCTCTTTATCGTGCTCGCCATTTCCTTACTTCTGATTCCATTCTTTACCTCTACAAATCTCTTATTCGTCCCTGTATGGAATACTGTTGTCATATTTGGGCT